TCCTCTAAATTTGCCACCGTGACCGATGTCGTGTGCGTCTGCACTGTGGTATGCTCATTGCTGCTACCTCCATTCCTCTAAATTTGCCACCGTGGCCGCTGTCGTGTGCATCTGCCCTGTTGTATGCTACTAGCTGCTACTTCCATTCCTATAAATTTGCCACCGTCGGCGATCTCGTGCCTTATCCCCGGGGTCCGCGGCAGGGGGCGGAGCCCTTACAATTATAATATTGTTATTAATTATCCTCAATCAATTGTTACCAATCAATTAATACCAATCAATTATTACCAACCAATTAATACCAACCAATTGCCACCCACCAATTACCCCCCACCAATTATCACCAACCAATTGCTACCAACCAATTATCACCACCAATTGTCACCAACCAACTGCCACCAACAGAATTCCACCAACCAATTGTCCCCAACCAATTGCTACCAACCAATTGTCACCAATAAACTTCCACCAACCAATTGCGACCAACGAATTGTCACCCACCAATTGCTACCATCAATCGTCACCGGGTCGGATGTACGCCCTGGTGCTCGCTGGTGCTCGCGTCGCCGCCGCTGCGCCGCTGCGATTTGCGTGGGTCGCAGGGGATGGGATGTACGCCCTGCCATCCGTGGGTCGCCGCCGCTTGCCACCAACCAACTGCCAACCAATTGCCATCCATCAGTTGCCACCAACCAATTGTTACCAACCAATTGCCACCAACCAATTGCCTTCAAGCAACTGCCACCGACCAATTGCCAACCACCAATTGTCCGCTCCTGTGTCTGGTGAGGTTGTGACCATGTGGGATTCTCCGGTCCTATAATTTGTTGGGTGCCCCTGATGCAGTCGTCGAAGCCGTCACTTTGCCTCTACCCCTCACACCTGAGGCGCGTAGGAGGTGACGTGGCAGCACGCGCTCTTCCTTTTGGGTCTGATCCTTTCGACTGGGGCTTGGTGAACTTGTAGGTAGGTTTGCCCTTGCCCTTCTTGCCCTTCGGTTTGCCAGACCATTTTTGTCTTTTGTTGGTGTAGTGGAGGATGAGGCAGGCCCATGTAGGCCCTTGATCTTGTAGTGCGACAACTGGAAGAAAACCACGCCAAAGTTTCAAGTGCCAGCAAATATGTCGCGAAAGCAGCGTCATGGGCCTCCAGGGTTCATCATCCCGGCATCCCCTTCTCCATTGCCCGTGGCCGTTGTGCCCCTGATGCATTCTGCAGACTTGCATCTGCGACCGCTCGGGCCGTCAAGCTGGACGTTGATTCTGATTTTGAACAGTTTAGAACTTGACGCCTTGGTGCCAACTTGGTGCCTTGAATTTTAGGAGGTTTGGACTCCGCTGGACTTACCTGGTCTCTTAAACTGAGCTTTCGAGGGCTTTGGACATTCAAGCCGTACGTACTTTATCTTTGAGTCTGTGTGTGTGGGGCAAGAGTGGAGAAAGGTGCACTTGAAAGTATAGTCGCCAGAGTCCAGGGTTGCATCGATATATCAATCAAATAATGAATAGAATAACATAGAATACGTAGAAGTTAAGTATGAACTTTCATGATCCAGGCGGTTGCGCCCACCAACCTCAGGGGCACATGCGGTTCACCATGCCAAGTTCCCCACGCAAATCAAGCAGCTGCAGTTCACACACTAGGTCACCAGGTTGTTGGCAAGGTTAGTTGAACCCTGTCCCTTCCTTGCAGTGATGGACAAATGTAGAGGTAGCCCCATCATGCCCAATCGTCTGAGCCAAAGCCCACCTTCCACCCCTCACCAAGCCCCATACCATGGGAAGTCTGAAAGAACGAGGCAGGCACCTTCCAAGTTATGGGAAGCCAATCAAGTGGCTCTCTCTCTCTCTCTCTATCTCTCTCCGTTTGCCCGCTTCATTCCTACAGCATCCGCATGCATGCTGGTCGAATATTTTGGAGCTGCCTGGCCGTGGAAAGAAGTACCAGCTGGTACTGGAGCGGCCTCAGCCAAAGCTGAAGCTTTTCTGGAAATGACACAAGCAACCTGTGGCTCAAACTGCTATAGCTGGCATGGCATTTGCATAGCCTGCTGAAGACACTTTGGACGCGCAAACGAATGGCATGCGGGGAAACCGTCACTGTCAGGTATGTCTGAACTACCAAGCTCCTCCTCACCACCATCACCAACAAGTCGGTGCAGTTCACATGAGCCCTGCTTCGTTCCAACCCCACCCCACCTGAAGACACACCCTGCCATGGCCCAGGTGAAACCGATAGTGCCTGACAGCAGGCGTCTTCCAAAGCAACTCCGCAGGTCCTGCATTCTCTGCCGGCCTCTGGTGGCACTTTCAGCCTTCGCCCCCACCCGTTTGCAAACGTTCTGATTGAGTTTGGGAAGAAAACTGTCCCCTAGTAGCTTCTTATCCTAGTAGTAAGGCCAGGAGCCCCTAGTAGCGTCCTTGCTCCTAGTAGCGATGCCAAGAGCCCCTAGTAGCTTCTTGCTCTTCACGCAACATCCCAGCCTGTGCAACTGCCGGGGGTCTATCTCGAAGGCACAATGTGGACAGCGGATGTGGGTTGGCTCTTCAGCTGTAGCCTTCACCTTGCCGCGCGCTCTAGTCCCGTCCGCTACACCGAACGCGACCACACCTTCTCTTTTGGCTTCGCCTTTGGTGAGACATCCTGACATATTTCATGTTTTCAGATCTGGTGTCTCATGAGATGGCCAGTGGTATGCTCTTGCAACTTGATACCTCTCGCTCCTTGCTGGCTTTGTTTTCTGAAGTGGGGCCTCGGCGAAGGGTTCAATATATGTTGAGCGATACACTTCATCCATGTGAGATCCAGCTGATTGGGCTCAAAGTTTTTTCACTTTGCAACGCCACGTCCTTAGACTCACAGTGACACTGCCAGTTGTTTTCCTTAACATTCCATTCATGTTGTTGTCCTTTGTCGCCATTGGTCAGGTGCTGTATGAAGGATCTGGCATGGCTCAGTTATCGTGTGGTTCCCTCCAACACAAAGGCACAACTGCAGTTGCTACAGCTGCCCGCTGGGTGTGAAATTGGCCACCTGCGAGGGTGCACTAAGAGTTTCACAATATCATAGTTGCACCAATGTTTATATTAGGAAAAGATCCGCCCACACCGAAGGCGTGGTAACTTTGTGTTGTGTAATTTTCCAATACAACGCAGTGTACTACACTAGGGGGAGGCATTCTTGGAGGTCACAATCCCAGAAAAGTCGCTAGGAACCTGCAATGTTTGATGGTCTTCGTTGGGGTCGGGTCAAAAGTGCTATTATATATATATATTATATATATATATACAGATATATACAAGTGCCCATGTTGAATGATTCGGGGAACCATCTTGGGAACATGGGCCCAACTACCGGAAAACAGTGCATACAAAGCTTCAATTCTTGACACACAAGATTGGCCACCTCTGGTTGGCCCCAACAGTGCTGGAAAAAAATGCATAAAACGCTCAGGCGCAAAAATGATCAGCCTATGAGCCATGCCAGGTTAATGACAGGACCACGCTACCAGTCACTACCAAAACAAGATCTTCATGAGGTCACAGAGGAAGTTGCACAAATATGTTGGAAGCTCGAGGGATTTTGTGATTCACATGCAAACACGCCAAGAGTTGCACGCCAACTCTCTCTAAGCCTCTAAGCAAGTGTCCCAAATGCTTGTTGGTAGGTGGGACTCTTCCAAGCTCTCGATGTGCCCACTGCCGAGCTCAAGAGCATCTATCTATCCTTCAGCATCCATTCTTTCACAGGCCACTCCAGGTGACTCTTGGTCTTTTCTTGGTGAGTCCTCCCTTTCTCTTTTTGTGTGACAAGGTCCTAAGCGCACTCTACAACCCGTCAGTGTTGCAAACTTGGAAATGATCTTAGTGTCTGGATCTGTACACATGTGAAACAAAGTGAAATGTAACGTGATCAGGGTTACAGTGAAGCAGGGCCGCAACAGCAAGCCAGTGCTGCGCTGGACGAAACCAGCCAGCCCAAAAGAAAGGTGAAACGACCTTCTCAACCGAAGGGCCCACCAAAAGCCAGGAAGAGCATTGAATTCGCGCTGCTGAGCTATCCCAACAAAAAGCACAGGCAGTTCAGGTCTGGGCAGTGACGTCAGATGCCGCACCCAAGTGCCAGAAAGAGAGCTACACAAAGGGGCCAATTGCTCACAGATCCAGGCGGCGCAGCACGGCCCGAGCATTTTCACGGTAGGGACTGCAGCAGCCGCCCGTTCGGGCAGAGATTGCTACCCCCAAAGACCGCCAAGTCTTCAGGGCTGTGGGCCCCAACCGCCCCCGCACCCTTCGACGACTAATGGTAGGAATTGAAGTCCTTCAGAGGCGCAGGCTGGGGCAGTATTCAAGTGCTGATTTTTGCGGACTTCGTACTCGGCGGCCGCCCGGCCCCCATCAGCAGCCGAAGCAGTAAGCAGCCAGGGTTAAATTTGGCTTCGTGGCTGATCTGCAATTGCCCCTTGTGAGCACGTGCAGGACTCAGAGTTGCCCGGGTCATCATATTCGTCGACATCGTCATGAAAGCTCGATGGAGATGGTGAAACACGCCACCTTTTGAAGAGATCTCTCCGGCCCAATGGAACGTCTTTCTCTTCTGCTTGTTCCCTCTGTTGTTTGGATGGTTCATGGATGATACCTCCGGACTCGTCGAACAACACTTGATTACACTTTGGCCAATTCCCTCTCCTTGTCGACCATTCACCATGAAATTACCATGTCTGAGCCCCTGGTCCATCCTACAGGTGGCAAAGCACCGTCTTTTGTCTGTCCGTTCAGTCACGCGGAGCGGGGCTAGTGAAGCCTCTAGGCATCCAAGATCTACCAGTTATCTACTTGTACTCAGACATCTCTTCATAATGCATCACCGCTGCAAAACCGCGGCAAATGAATCAAAGCAAGGTCTCCACGACGTGTCGCAGTTCTAAAGTCTACAGGTCCAATACCTGAAACTCGACTCCGACCTCCTTCCGAACAACTGCAAGTTTGCTTAGCGCGCTGCTTATGGCCGACGCCTCACAACCCACCGATGATGAACATTGCGAGAGTACATTGTAGTTTCTGTGGTGGTTGGCAGGACGCAATGCTAGGGCATCTTGACCAAGAAGGAAGAAGGGTTGAAGACACTTGGCCGCTTCCCAAGTCAACAACCACTGCAAGTCGAGTGACAAACACAGCAGCATGGACAAACTGTCCTAAATGCAAGTTCGACAAAACACACACCAGGCTGCCTGCGAGCCTTCCTTTGGGCTGGCCTTGCTTGGAGAACAAAACCAGGAATGCGGATTGACCCACATTGGGAGCTCTAAGTTGGAGGCATAAGCTTGGGCCATTTCGTCCCACAAGTCATCGTAAAGGTCCTGGCCACAAAGGCTGAAAGGCAAAGAGTCTTGGACATTGTTGCCCCAGGCTTGGTCCTCAAACTCCTTCTGAACAATCTTGCCATCCTGACCGCCACTGTCTTTGAGCATTGAAAGGGCCCCCTTCTGCAAGACATGTTCTCCGCCTGGTTCCTTCGCCCTTTGTGTGTGCAAACCCTCTCTTTTGTAACTGTTTGCCCTTTCCTTGTTGACATCCAACTCAGCCAAGATGTTCTGGACCACATCTGCTGAGAGTGGCTTCTGGACCTTCGACTGGTTCGTCAGGACAAGGACTCATTGTCAAGCTCCAGTGTTCCAAGGAAAAAGAACGAATTTGAAGGTGATCCAAAACAATGAAAGCAAACACTTGCACGCTTGCTTCTTGTGCCTTGTAGGTCTTCCAAATGTCCCGCCTGTGGTTTTCCCACGCTTGGCCGCTCACCGCTTCTTACCAAGTTAAACACGTTTTCCTCCTTGATCACCGTGTAGAACTGGGCTCCAGGCAGGAGCTGATCAACCTCTTTGCGATCCATAACCCCACTTGTGTCCTTGCAGCTGCTGTGTTACCGTCAACTACCTAAAGTCTCAAGTAGAACACGTGTAAGTGTAATGGGTTTAGATCTACGTGCTCAACCGTGCAAGATTGTACAAATTTGTGCCAAAACCGCCCCGTCCTTGTCAAACTTCAGCCACATCTGCCTTGAAAGTGACGTTGGGTTGTGACCGAAATAGTCTGTATTGGTCCACTTTGACACTTTTTGGACTGAGGCGGAGGCCTGGCTGGGAGTTTCTGAACAGACTGACCTTGGAACAACTCCACCAGCTCTATCAACCCCATGCATCGCCAATCCACGACGGTATACACGACCGCAGTCCTGTTGAGATGCCCGACCCATGGCGCTTTGGAAGATGCGCGGAATGTGATTCACTCGTTGGCCGCCATTGGCCAAATCAGTTGTGGTGAGCTTTGGTGCCACGAGCCGTAGTGTGCTGTAGCCTGCGTGGCGGCTTTTCTGTACCCATGCCTAAATTCAGGTATTTTGATCTGCGCATGCTTGAGCACAAAATTGGCTCCTAGGCATGATCTACAACAAAGCTAGATACCGGAACCACAAGAATCGGGACAGCAGAACTACCTACGAAACAAAATGCACCCAGGTCTGCATAGCTGCCACAACCTTATGACGTCATCGAATCATGCAATCTGCTGTACCTTTTCCATACTGATCAGGCAAAATTCTGGAGATACACTAAGACTAAACAAAACGCATCATTGGCACGACTGATGAGCCTTTCGCCCACCAAAACTATCGACAAAGCTACTGGACACCGGGAATCATGCGGACCGTCTATCCTTGAAGCAATTGAAGGACCTGGCCAGGCCAAGGATCGTTGCGCCAGTCCTATGGGATTGTAGCCCCATTCATAGTTCCATCATGATGTTGTATGTTGTAAAACTATTTATCATATCCAAAAAATGCAGATCGCATATACATCTTTCATCCACTTCCCGACCTGTTCGTGAACTCCATCCAGGCACCTGTCAATGCCCAAAAGCCTTCACCCACCTGCAATTGCACATGCCGGACAAACACTCAAGAACCGCAGTGCCGTCAAGAGCTCCAAATCACTGGGGCCCTCGCAGATCCTTGCGCCACTTGTGGCATTTGGGACTGGGGCTCTGCTTGGAGGACTTGGGAGGGCTCTGCATGGGCCCCTTGGGACTGGGGTTCTGCTTGCGACACTTGGGGCTGGGGCTCTGCTTGAGGCACCTCAGACTGTGGTGCCTCTTGGAATTGGTGTTCCAATTGGGCCACTTGGGGCTGTGGCACCACTTGATGCACATGGGTTTGCTGGACCGTTTGGGGCACATGTGGCTGTGGCAGCGCACGAGGCACCTGCATCGCATCCACTGACAATAGTAGATATGATATATATATATATATCATATCTTTCAGTGAAATCTCCCGGTACTAGGTGCCCGTACAAATGTTTGTGCATGAGCGCTCGACGCGTCACTGGCTCCATTGTGAAGGATGGCAGACCGGGCTGCTATAATGGCATCCTCAACCCGACAATTCAAGCCTTCGTCAACTCAGGAAACAACAATTGTTTCATATTAATGTTGCCATCTTCGCAAGACAGTATCAGCACACGGCTTTTGCATTGTTGAACAGTGCATTCTGCTGTTCCTGGCGCGCACGAGACGGCTGACTATGACAATGCTTGTGGCCACCATTGGCTGTAGGCAAGACAATCAGTCCCGAAAATGGCTCCTCATAAATGTGGAAGTTGTGGTCCTTACGTGCGGGAACATGTGTACCATCACAATTTGCAGAGCAACAAGGAACATCACAGTTCCAGCGCACATCGTTGGACTAGAAAGGTTCGATCAACTGTGAAACAACACCAACGGCATTTGGTAATACTTGTATATAGCACAGGTTGATACGGGCGAAGTAAAAAAAGAAACCACGTGGAGCTGCCTTGCCTTGCCTTGCCTTGCCTTGCCTTGCCTTGCCTTGCCTTGCCTTG